GCAGATTTCCAATTTGAGTTTGCTTCCTATCACCATAGAGAATCTATATACGGTTCTTTGATAGATAAAGGGATGGGAGAGGGCCACTAAACCTCTTCATAGAAATGAAAAGTTGACCTTGCTTTGCAACTGGTGAATTGCAGACCAGGGCACCCGAAAATAGCATTTAACCATCAGCCTGTGTGGGTGCTCTCCATTCCAACCCAATTAAAGTGGGACCTGGTAATTGCAGAGGAGAGAAAATGAGTGGAGTATTTTCTAAAACAAGCAGAATATTTTCCATTATGTAAAAGAGAAAAAGTAGCTTTTAGAAAACCACACCTAGGTTATGTGGACCGCTCTTTCGTAACCAGATGGGAATGTTGGAGAAGCAGAGATACTTGTTGCTCTTTAGACTAGGATCCATCAACCTTTGCTCACTTTCCCTGCAGATTCTAGAAAACCATTTAGGGAGACATTGCCACTAAACCTGGAAGTGCAGTAGCAGGTTGGGCCCCAGGGATGGGCTGGTGATAGCCTCCCAGGGATGGGCTGGTGATAGCCTCCCAGGGAGGTTTTAGAAAGAGAAGGGCTAGAACGAGGTTGCATTAGGACCACAGGGATTTACTGCCCTTGGTAGGGGAAACCATATTCATGCATGAAAAGTCACGAAGTCAGGCATGATCTTGGAGCTCCTTACTCATCTTTCCCTGGGTTTACCACCTCTTTCCTGCATAGCCCTATGACGCTAATAACTGTCCTTATAATTTGATTCATTCACCTGTGTATTAACTGTCTTCCCACTAGACTATAAGTCCCACAAGGAAGGGGCTGACATCAGTTTCATACTCCACAGCCTAGTGCAGCTCTCTGTACTTTGGAAGCTGTCAGAGGGAGGGAGCAGTGTGCTGGTATGATATCTGCAGAGGGCATGGCCCTTGCCTGCATGGTACACAGTGCCCATGGGCCTTCTCACCGGTGGCTCTTTGTGGTTCAGCCCTGATGACATGACTTCCTCACCCATTAGCAGGATATGAATGTGACAGTGGCATGGATTGCTCATAGGTAAAAACTCCTGTCCTGGGATCTTGGGTCATCAGGAGAGATATCCCTTTATGACCCCATCCCATACAGAGTATTCGAGTCCCCACCTTTTGTCTGCTGAGAAACAGGCTGTTTTCAGGTCATAGGTCATAGGTGTGGTAAAGGAGATCATCAGTAACAGGTGGTCTGCAGAGTTTCTTTCATCTTGTCCTCAATGCATCGCAGTTAATGTTTAGCCTTCTATGTGGAGTCTTGTCTCTTGAGTCCCTCATCTTCCCTCTCCTGTTCTAGTTGACTTTTTTTTACCCTTCCCATTCTTTTAAGCTTACTACTATTTAGTGTCTCAGAGGAATAAACCAGGTAGGTAAACATCTCCTTTGAAGCTTAGAGTCTCATTTCTGCTTCCATATGAGTACAGGGAAAGGGGTGGAAGGAGGGAGAAGAAGATAGGTAATAGCCCCATTACTACTTTTAGCCATCATATAGTCTCCACATTATTTCTTACTCTCTGTGGAAGTGTAGGGTCTTCTGAATGTGAGCTGACATACTGCTATGCAGTGAATTACTTGCTGTTTGTTTATGTTGCATGAATAGTTGGTTCTGTTCCACAAACACTCCCTAAGCACTGATTCCATGCCAGACTCTGTGCTCCATCTTCAGGATAGGTGCACGTTTGTCTCTCTCTCCTTTAAAGCTGGAAGGATATTTAGAAGGCACCTAATCTTGGCTCCTTACTAGACAGATGCAGAAAGTAAGGCCCTAGGAGGTAAAGGGATGAGTCAAGGCCTTAGAGTTGGAGCAGAACTTGGCTCTGCCCAGCACTTCTGGGGTTTGGAGATATGTATAATAACCACCGAGTCCAGTACTTGAGAGTTTGACAAACACTGGTGCTGTGCAAAGTGTTCTCCATGGTTGCCCTTGTTTAATTATTAGAGCAAGTGCTATTGTCACTGTTGTTATTACATCTTTTTACAGATGAAGAAATAAGGCTTAAAATAGCCAAGATGCATTCCCACAGTCAGATGCATAGTATGTAGGAGAACTGACAGGGCCTCTGGCTCTGTGTGAAGGTCATGTCCTCTTCTGCTTTGTATACAGGAGCAACTGGAGTTTATGAGAGGCGGCTCAGTTGGTTCAGTTTGTTCTACATCCTCCCTCTAATTGTAGGGAGGGACTGATATATATATATATATATATATATATATATATATATATATATATATGTATTTATTTATTTACCATTTCAACTTTTTAAAAAATATTTTTATTAATTTTAGAGAGAGGAAGAGAGAAAAACATGTAAACATCAATAATGAGAGAGAATCATCTATTGGCTGCCGCCTGCATGCCCTCTACTAGGGATCTAGCCCACAACCTGTGGGCATGAGCTCCAACTAAGAATCGAACTATGACCTGGTTCATAGGATGATGCTCAACTACTGAGCCACACCTATCAGGCCCATTTAACTATTTTAAGTACATAGTTCAGTAGTCTTAAGTAATTCATCTTGTTGTGTACCCATCATCACCATCTATCTCCAGAGTTTTATTCATCTTTCCAATCTGAAACTGTATGCTACCTTGTCATTGTGCCCTAATATGGCCTTCTGCGCCTTTGCTTCCCTGTGTCTCTGTCTCTGTGTGTCTGTCTCTCTCTCCAGTCATACTGAACTCTTAGGACCTCATTCTACTTTAGTTCCCTCTTTAAAGACCCCATTTACAAATGCAGTCACGTGGGGGTTAGAGCCTCAGCATATGAACTTAGGAGAGACATAACTCAGTCTATAATATAGCTCTTGGCTATTGTGAATAATGTTGCTATAAATAGCGGTGTACACATGTTTGTTTGAGTCTCTGCTTTTAATACTTTTGGGGTATATAGCCAGCAGTAGAATTGCCGGATCATGTAATAATTCTATTTTTAATTTTTTGAGGAACCACTATGGGTTTGTTTTGTTTTTTCCCTCTGTATCAGCTACACCATTTTACATTCTCATGGCATTATTTCTTAACTTTTCTTAACTAATGAATAGTTTTGCTCTGTTTGTAGAGTTTACTCTGATAGCCAAGGTCCTCCAGTAGGGAGCTAGCTAGCCTGGAACTGTTTTTTTGTTTTTGTTTTTGTTTTGCTTTTTGCCTCTCAGATGTTTGGTTACTAAATCTTTCAAGAAACTTGGTGCCCTTGTTCCTCCTGCTGTATGTCCTGTCAACAACCTTGGGCTCTTGCTTCCATACTTAGCTGCTGGGAAAACATCCCAGAAAGGAGGAGGAAGCAGTGAAAACTGGCCTGGTCTCAGTTGGATGCTTTATCCGAGCTGTGCGCCTTTGGGCAGTAGCCCTTGAGCACAGCGGGAGTTTGTACCCGGTCTCGCCCCATCTCTGAACATGCAGAGAGGGACCCTGAGCTTGCTCAAGCACTTGCCACCTTCACAATGGCCAAGAGACAATAGATTAAGATGTTCCTCAACAAGCAGCTTGAACACTGCTGTAGGTTCATATCGACTCATGGTAATAGGAAGAATTAGAATGTGTGTGGGGGAGAGTGGGTGTGTATGGAGAGAGGGCTTGGGGTGTGAGGAGATGTTGGGGATAGGTGTTTATGTGATGCAGAATATGAGGGTGTGTATGAGGGGAAAGGATGTGTGATGTGTATATAAAATAGAGTGTGAGAGTGGGGGTTTGGGATGAGTGTGTGTGGTAGGTAGTGCGTGCATAAGGTAAGGTGTATGTATGTGGAATAGGGGACAGAAGGGATGACTATGAGAAGGAATGAGTATGTATATGGAGTGGATGTGAGGTATTTGGGTGTTAAAATACTTGGTTGAGTAGGCAGATGGAGATAAAGATATGTATAGGCTGGGAATGGGGATATGCAGGAATGGGGTATGGAGGTGAGGCAGATGGGGGTGGGGAGTGGGGAATAGGGTATGTGGATGATGAGGTGTGAGTCGGGGTGTGTGTGTGTGTGTGTGTGTGTTGGAGGGTCGTAGTAAAGAAAGGACCGGTGGCTCCTTTCCAGGTAGTTGCTCCTGCCAGGAGCCTGGTGGGTGGAGGAGCTGCTGAGGCCTGCAGAGCTTCCCAGCTGCGGGGGAGTCGTGCCTTGCTGGGGACTCAGGCGTGACTCACTTTCACCTGGTTAGAATTAATTTGTTGGGCATCTGCATCATGACAGGAATGTGCGTCAGCCTGTATGACTTTGTTCTTTTTAAGAACCAATTGTGCTGGGAGCTATGAAAGATAAATTGCTTCTCCTTGGCCCACACTGAATGACCAAGATCATTTTCCTCACTCCACCTATTCTGTTCTTGATCAAAGGCCACTGCAAACATTCCAAGTGAGAGAGGTAACTTCAGGAGACACGCACATACACACGTACACACACACTCACAAGCACACAACCCCCACATACAAATGTAGATAAGGGAGCCCCAAAGCAGCTCTCAGATGCCAGGTGGCCTCTGCAGCAGTAACTCTGTGTGCACTGCGGTCTGCTGCAGTCTTTGCGGTGTAGGGATGCTGGCTTTTGTGAATGGTAGCCTGGGAGGGGCCAATGTCATCTGCTCCTGATGTCAGCACAATGAATGAAACACTTGCAGAACGTAAAGCCTCCAGCACTCGGGAAGCAGACACCTTCTCAGATTGGTTTTCTGGCTGCAGCGTCTCTTGCTGACGAAATCACTAGTCCCATGTGTCCCTGATAACCCACGTACGTTAGGTTTTAAATTAGGCAGGAACTGAGGCTGCATGAGGACTAATGCAAGCTGATTCTGGCACAGCCACCTCTGCCTGAAGCAGCTGTGCCCACCACCCTCTTCCTGGCACGCACTGGAGAAGGCTGTTTACAAGATCTGCAGACCCACTGTTGTGCATTAGCCATCTACTTAGCTAGCCCGATGTTCTGCTTTTGCTGGCAGAATTCCTTGCTGAAGCTCCAAGCCCTTGAAACTGATCTGTGCTCTGCGTTTTTGACAAACCAGGAAGAAGCTGCTCAGGTGCATGGAATCAAGGACCCAGCCCCAGCGTCCACTCAGAGTGTGCCTGCTGAAGGGGCTGATGCTGCAGGTAAGAGGCTGGATGGGGGGAGGTCCTCGTTTGTACCCTCAGAATAGTTTAGCTTTTGCTGCTTCATCCTAAACCACTGTGGGAAAGGGTGCCTGGTGCAACATGAAAGCTGAAGAGGTGCTTGGGTTACCCCCAGGGGAGCTGAGAGGGAGCAGGAGGAATTAAGATGTGCTCTGATATAGAACCTTTTCTTCAACTGGGGGTCAAGAGTTAGAGTCAGACTTACAGAAATGAGGAGGTTGGGGGGGGGGGGCGTCAGGGGGACTCCTAGACTTCATTTTCCTGTGTGGTATTATGTGGCAAACAAGTCCTTATTTTATATTGCTGGACTTAGATAATCTTGCTTGCAACTCGTGAGTTTTGAGACTCATGACATTTCTGAGGTGTTGAGGGATGGGAGAATTTCAACATTGCTATTTCCTTTCTTCTATATTGCTCATATGATGGTCTGTCAACACAGGGAAAGTGGAGGAGAGTGGTATATTCATTCTTGTTCTGTCTCATTTCTTTAGCATTAATTTCTGTGTTGAGAAGTCTCAAAATTGGATCTTATTTGTCTGTTAGTTCCTTTAGTTTTAATCTAGGGGATGGTAGGGTGGCTAACTAGCAGGAGACAAATTAATACTCCCAGAAAGACGTAGGAAACATTAACTTTTATGAGTAGAAATGAGAGCACAAATGGGTCAGGTTTGCAGATTGGTGTCTGGGTCAATGGTAAAAATTGGTGAGCTTGCTTCATAGATGACCCCTATCTCCAGGAATTGCAGGAAGAGATTTACAAAGTGATCTGTTTTAGTATTGTTACTGATAGTACATTTAAGACATTACTATTTAAAACAGACCCATGTGGTATAAGCAGGCAAAATACTTTTCTCCAGTTTTGGAATGTTTATTAGTAACAGTGGTTAATAGCTATTGACTGGTAGCTACTTATTATTACTGAAGACTTTCTATGATCCAGGCACTGGTCAGAGCATTTTGTATCTATTATGTTAAATTCTTAAACTGACCTGTGAAATTAAACTATTCAGTACAGTAAGGATACTGAGGCCTAAGATAATCCTGCTAGCAAGTAGTGTTCCCCAAGGATGCAGGTGGCCAGCTGGCTGTCCTTATTGCCTGGTGAGGCTCCCCTGCTCTGTTGGCCATTGTGTTTGGATGAGATGCAAGTAAAATTGGGCAGGAGCCAGTGTCAATACAATTAGAGATTTTATTCATATTATTAGACAATGCCCTTCTTCTTCTTTCACCAATCCCAACAAACAGCATTCAAAACTATAGAGAAGACTCATGCCAAATACAAATTTAACTTTTGAATTACCTGATGATGTTTTATATTGTACACAAGTATCTGGGAAAGAGTGTTTACTAAGCAATGGATATATGTATTTTTAATTTTTTATTAGTGAGAGTATTATGGATGTCCCATTGCCCCCATTATATGTATATTTTTAATTACAAGTTTTGTGTGTGTATAGGTTTGTCATTTTTTTCAAAAGGTCAAGAATAGTTTTGCATTTTCTCATTTTAGATGGACTGGATTTTGTACAAGCTTATTAACACTCCTTGTCAAAGAGAAATACATACTGAGTTTACATCCGAATTGCTCATACAAAGGAGCTGTCAATATATTCCATGTTAAGTGTCAAATGGGAGAAACAGGCAGAAGTCTCCTCACAGATAACGCTTGTGGGTTGGATGTTGGATTTTCCAAAATATAGGTGAATCTGGGAAGTCTATGAAAAAGATTTCCACTCTCCCTCCCTCCGCCTCCCTCCCCTTCTCCCTCCCCTTCTCCCTCCCCCTCTCTCTCTCTCTCCTCTTGTCCCTCCCCCTTTCCCTCCCCCTCTCCTTTTCTCCCTTTCCCCTTCTTCCTCCTCTTCCCCCTCCATCCTCTTCCCCTTCCTCCTCCCTCTCCCCCTTTCCCTTTCCTTCTCCCTCTTATTCTTCCTCTCTCTCTCCAGTAGGCAGCAATAGTTCTTGCATGTTTTCAAAGATAAAGCCCATCACAAAGTTTCTCATCTTCGTTGAGTTTATTGGTAAGGAGTGTCCATTAACTAACATGACTGCATGGGAGTTGATGTGGGGAAAGTGAAGAAAGGCCAACCCCTATATTGGACCTTACAATACTTTAACACATTGTTTTCTCTAATTTTAAAGTAAAATCCTTTGATATAAAATGACTGACAGGCGTTTGGAAGAGGCTTTGAAGTTAGGGGTGGTTTGGTCTTTTTTGGTTTCCAAGACACACTTATAGGAAGGCCATACATTTTATAATCCTTTTTTTCAAAAGGAAAAACAATTTTCCCATAGTAGATCAGCATTTCTTAATTTAGGGCTGTGAATGGATATGAGGAGTGATCTTTGAAACTTTAATTGTTTGTATGCATATATAAATTCCCAATTGAGAGTTTGATTGCATAAAATTAGCACAGATGGCCATAAGTCTATAAAAGATTATAGTGACTTAAAATTTTCTCTAAAAATCTAGCATCTAGCCCTGAGATTTATATGTATATGAATATTCAATTAATAATTGTTAATATCAATAATTAGTGACAAAGACAAAATCCAAGTGATATTTACAGGAATACCTTGCTATAAATATACTATCAATTAACCATTAAAAACAAATATTCATAAATATAAATTAATGTTACTTAAGTAGATTTCAAACTTACTTTATAGTTAATTATGGCATGACTTAAGTGGGCATTTGAAATGATGGTCTGAGCAAAGTATAGTAGTCTCTATGTCTTGAGATCAAAATATTGACTTTTAATTGGATTTATAGTTGCAAAGGTCAGTCCTTCTTAGTAGATTACCTGAAATACTCCCTGTTCTAGAAACCCAGCTAAACACAGCACCTGCAGTCAGAGCATAGTCCTGGCAGCCCTGGGAGGCACTGGGTTCTGGCTAGTGTTCCTGAACTTTCCTGCATGTCATGATGACCGGGAGGCTTTTCAAATATCGAATCCTCAGTACTCATCTCTGGACAGTCCTGGACTATTTACATTTCATAAATTTACTCCTTAATATTGGGAACCACTCTTCAACTGACAGTGTTTTGAATTATGAGAGGGAAGGGCAGGTTCTCTCAGGGTTTCTTTGCCTCTGCCTCACCTCGGTGTTATCCAGGTCATCAACGGGAAGAGTCTTACAGACCACAGGACATATAACTCAGGGTCTGTGTCCAGTCAGCTTAGTCCATTTTTTTTTAATCAATCTTTATTGTTCATATTATTACAAAGGTTCCTCATTTCTTCACCCCTCCACCAGGTTCCCACCCCACCCTCTGCCCCCTCCCCATCCCCCATTGTCCTCATCCATAGGTACAGTTTATGTTCAGTCTCTTCTTCCCTCCCTTTCCCCAATAGTAAATCCCTTTTCAGATAGTAAATCAGTTACTTAGCATTTTCTCATATCAATAATACCTCCACATGCCCAATGATACACTTCACACACAAGACATTTCCCAATAGGTCCACCAGCCTCATCCAGGCCCCACCCAAGGCACTCACAGATCAACACCCCAGTCCTAAACTAACTCAACACATCCAGATCTAAGCCTTCATCACTTGATTCAGCAGACCCTCAAGTTCCCACGAAAGTTTCCAGCCATGTCTGAGAAGCAGCCATGGGGCAGGGGCAGGCAAGGAGCGAGCTGTTCCGGGCCTGGCTGCTCAGGGCCTGGCCTCTGTTGCTCTGGTTCATTCCACAACCAGCTGCTCCGGGTCTGGTCACTGCTGCTCCCGACCTAGTTGCTCTGGACTTGGCTGCTGCTGCTCCGGGCCTGGCCGCTCCCAGCCTGGCAGCCGCTGCTCCGGGCCTGGCCGCACCCGACCTGGCTGCTCCGGGCCTGGCCGCTCTCAGCCTGGCAGCTGCTGCTCCGGGCCTGGCCGCTCCCAGCCTGGCAGCCGCTGCTCCGGGCCTGGCTGCTCCCAGCCTGGCAGCCGCTGCTCCGGGCCTGGCCGCACCCGACCCGGCTAGCTTAGTCCATTTTTATCAGAAGGAGAAAGGTGCTTAGGTACTCAAGTCTACAGGCCAGAAATTGGTGGCATGGGGACCAGGACAAGGGATGGAGACAGACCCAGATTTGAGGTGTATAGAGGCCCTTAAAGAAAAGTGATAGAGCCGGAAACCGGTTTGGCTCAGTGGATAGAGCGTCGGTCTGCAGATTGAAAGGTCCCAGGTTCGATTTCGGTCAAGGGCATGTACCTTGGTTGCGGGCACATCCCCAAGAGGCAGCTGATCGATGATTCTCTCTCTTCGATGTTTCTAACTCTCCCTCTCTCTTTCTCTCTGTAAAAAATTAATAAAATATATTAAAAAATAATAATGAAAAGTGATAGAGAGGGAACCAGCTGCAAGGCATCTTTGAACTGTCCATAGTGTAACCAAATGTCTTCTTTGCCCAGGACCGTTTTTTGTTTGTTTTAGCACTAAGCGTTCTACATGCTGGGAAATCCTCAGTCCTAGGCAATTCAGGACAGCTAGCCACCCCACTTGTAGGTTGCAAATCACATACAACACTTGGGCCAAAAATCCCTCAAACTGAATGAATAGCCTCTTACAGCTGAAGCAAATGTTTTCTCTGTGGCATTAGTAAGCATCTATTCTGATGTTGTGAACGAGAAATGGAATGAGGTTGTCTTTTTAACTGCTTGTCACTTTCAAAGTATGCATGAGGACTGTTTGATGTTTCACATGACTAAGCAGAGTAATCCTGGTTCTGTCTGACCACAGGTGATTGACGGCACAGATTTTGTAGCAAAAACTGTCACAAGATAACTGAAGACTTATTACTAGAAATAATTAGAAGTACCTGATTAATTCTTTTATATAAAACTAGAGGCCCGGTGCATAAAATTCGTGCACAGGGTGGGGGTGTCCCTCAGCCCAGCCTTCACCCTCTCCAATCTGGGACCCCTTGAGGGATGTTAAACTGCCTGTTTAGACCTGATCCCATTAAATGGGCAGTCAGACATCCCTCTCACAAT